CTTTGATCCCTTTTCTCTTGCTCACCTTGTCAACACCTCAGGACCCTGTCGATCGAGGGCGTTCGGATAGGAGAGGAATCCTGTTCTCGAGAATCACACACGTTCCCCCCCTCCGCCAAATATGGTATCAAGTGATATCACACCGACGGGGTTTGTGTTGGCCTCTTGCTGGTTCACGGTCCCCACGATTCCTGTCTCTCTGTGCCTGTCTGTCTCCCTTATGCCTTGCCGGCGTGTAAGTCCACCACGTTTAGGAATTAGCCCATTCCCCCTTCCCTTACCTGCATAAGCCGGGTCCCCGTTCAGCTTGCCGACCCCGGTTTCCCACACCTATTACATCACTGGGTATCACTCCCCCTAGGGGTGTGAGGTAATTGTCGCTGAAAACAAGATATCCTTCAACTCATCGTGCGCGGATCTGATTTAAGTGTTCGTGTGCCTTCGTGTAGTTTTCCCGTTAGTAGCTTTTACTACTTTTGGTTCCCAAGGTTTACGACTTTTGATCAAACACGTCTTGCACCTCACCTCACCTCCCACCACCCAACTTATCACGAGAAAGATACCCCTCGTCCCCCACTTCGGAAACGATACCATTGAGTGAGCAGGTGTCGTTTGCGAAATAATTTAGCTTGTTGTAAGGGGAAGTCATATTTATGGACGACACAATGGCCAAGAACAAGAACAAGGTATGCCTCTGCCGTTTACTGGTGTCGCAAGATTCACATGTTGATGAGACGTGGGCAGAAGGGCCAAGCCGCCCAACAATCGCCTGGCGGAGAGGGCTCCAAGCCCGAGGAGACGAAGCCCGAGGGCACCACGCCCGTCGGCGAGTTCGGCAACCCCGCGGAGAACGCGGGCGACAACAACAACGAGAAGAAGGCCGAGGAGAACGCGCCCGGCAGCACCGAGGAGTCCAAGCCTGAGGAGCCTCAATCACAGGGGCAAAAGTCGCCATTCGACCAGCCGCCCTCATCAACAGAAGACGACAAGAAGCCTGAGGAGAGCAAGCCCGAGGAAAAGAAGCCTGACGAGAAGGCCTCCACGGAAGAGAAGAAGTCCGAGGAGCAGAAGCCCGGCAGCAAGCCCGACCAGAAGGCGCAGCAGGCGCAGGTCGACGACGAGCCCGAGGAAGAGTCTAACGTCGACAACGACAAGAAGCCCGAGGCCAAGGGCAAGGAGCAGGAGCCCGCCAAGGTGCGTTCGCGTGAATCAGGGTATACTGAGCGTGAAGCTGACGCCGAGGAGCCCACGGAGCTGCAGGATGATGAGGAGGGCGAGTACTATGACGATGAGGAGGGTGAGGATGGTGAGGTCTACGATGACGACTACTACTCTGGCGATGACCAGGATGAAGACTACGACGACGAAGACGACTACGAGGAGGAGGAGGGTGAGGGGTCCGACCAGGCGGACAACTACACCACCACAAAACAACAACCGCGGCGCGGATACTCGCAGAACAACGACCCGTACGGTCGCAACAACCAGATGATGCAGCGCAACGGCGGTCGCCAACAGGGCGGCGAGGACATGTACCGCCAGCAGCAGATGCAGCAACAGCAGCAGCAGCAGATGCAACAGCAACAACAACAAATGCAAGGCGGCGGCGATGCTGGCGGCAAGAACCCGCTGAAGTTGAGGCTCGATCTCAACCTCGATATCGAGATCACGTTGAAGGCAAAGATCCACGGTGATCTTACTCTGGCTCTGCTGTAAGTTTTTCGAATATTCCCTTGTTTTCTTTTCGCGATACCCCCTGCGCATCTTTGGAAAGTCTGTTTCCTTTGCTCCTTTTGCTTTTCGGATTGTTTGGTCCGTGTCGAATACGATGCTTTTCCGGACGTTTCGACGCTGGAGGGCGCGAACGCGACTCGGATTTTCTGCCTGTGCTGCCCAGTGCGCTTCGTCCTTCCCGCAGAACTCTGTCATGCACATGCGATCTCCGGGACCTGGGCGGGGCGCAATATCGGCGGTTGAAATCGAGTCAGGAACTGTGCAGCAAGAAAAAAGCTTTCGAGCATTCTGAAGGCTCGTTCCCTGCTTCCGTCTTCTCCACAGCGACAACTCAGTTACGGAGTTATGGAGCCCACCACGTGAACGGTGAAGAAATAGCTGGCAGACCCCGGCCCGCGAGAGTTCGCGACCGTGTTTGCATGGCGCCTCATTTCGGACCCGAGCCAGCGTTCGGGAACCGTGTTTCGGGCTGTTGAAATTCTGCTCGATTCGACGTCAGAGTGACGACATGCCTCTTTTTCTTTTCTTGCTTCGGGCATTTTCCTTGCTTCGTTTTCGTGCGGAATAGAGACTCGAGAGAATTGCTCAGATTGCTAACTGCACAGCGACATGGATTAGTGACATGATGTGAAAACGGGTTTCTGACCTGCGGGCTGTTATCGCCGAATTTTCGTCAGACTTTCTCTTTCTCAGCAGGACATTGTTCGGCATTATGAATATTCCCCCAACGGCATAACGGCGATAAAAAAATCCACAGCGTGCAATGCGCATTAGTGACGAGTTTCTTTTGTTGTATCACGGCTTCATTGAAGACCTTTTTCTGGCAGTTCGGCAAGACGGTGTTTGATACGGATGGGTATGGAGAATTGTGGCCGTTCCCACAGCGATCGGACTTGTCAGATTTAGCGGCGGATCAGATCTTGCCCAGTGTAATTTTAGGCGCCCACACAAATGATCAATCCTCTGAATGAATTGAAGTGGCTTGGCAGTGACAACCAGATCTCCAGAATTTGGGCCGTTCGTAAAAACGGTGCAACGACGCAAACTACAGCTCAACTTTGTGGATTTGACGGTATGCATTGCTGGAAACACCTGCAATCATTGCTGGAATGCTCTGATTCTTCTTTAATGCGGTCGGATCCTCTTTGGGAATGTTCCCCGACCGTTTGGTTTGTTGTACAACGGTCAGCGTAGCGAAGACAAGTTCGGGAGCTGTATCCGGCGAGCTGCATTTTGGCGAGTTCGTATGATACTTAACGAGACTTCGCCAAGGTACGTTGCCGCGCATCGGCTTTCCGCAGAGGTGAAGGTGTGGCTGGTGCGGCATCAGTTCTCGTGGACTTCTGCCCAAGAGCATCGTCATTGTCAGGTATCCGCGGCTGCCCATCCATCCCAGTGCGTGATCCGCGAGAATCGGCCGAGTGCAGCATCACAATGCAGTCAGAGTGAAGTGCCAATGCGGTCGAGGTCCAATGATGAAACATTTCAGCCTCATCGGGTGCCCACCACACGGCAGCGGTTGCAGGGGATAAAACCTGTTTTTTGGTGTTCCCTCGTGATGTTGACAGCGGGCGATCGCAGGCCACCCCAGGGGAAGAAAAACAGCCACGGTATCCGTAGGAGCGGGAAAAAGGCAACGGACGACCCACCGCCCGATTCTAGACAGCTCTGCTCCATTTTTTTGAGTCGTGTTCCGTACCGCTTTTCGCCGCCGCCGCGTCGTACCCGCGATCGATCATATTTGGGGGTGATATCGCGGCCAAGCAAACGCTGGACAAAGCGTCTCCCCCAGTGAAAACGATGGAAGTCGGGTGGATGCAGTTTAGGCTCTCACTCTGTTCGGACGACGTCTGGCGGACAAGAGCACCGTGCCAGAACAATGGGATTGTGCGACGGTTGGACGTTTATCTGGCCTTGTGTGTGCGAGTGTGCCGTGCTCCGTCTCACAGGAATTGCGAGCGACGACCATGACCGCTAGCGAGACCGTAGGCGAGCCGAATCGAGATCATTGCAGGAGCTATGACCAAACGGTTGGCTCAAAGGGCAATGAGCGGCGGGAAGAGATTGCAATGGAGGCGTCTGAAGGACAGGGGGCCGCGTGGACAGGGGCCCCGAGACGTCTGTTCGGAGCAAAAGCGCCGCCGCGGGCAGGCAAGACGGTCGGGATTGTTCTTTGGGATTGTCGCTGCCCGGGGGCCAGACGGAAGAGCCAGGGGTTGCTGGTCCATGCGACGTCAAGAGCGGGGAACGCGGCGGGGAACCGTGTGGCGCCGACGCTAGGGAAGCAGCCACATTCGGTGAAACGGTGGGTGATCTGCAGCCAAAACGGTGGAGTGGCTCCGTTATCGACGTGTATCCGTGTTTCGCCCACAAATAATGACAGGATTATGCCGTTTATTTTTGTGATGGTGGGCTGCTGCTGGCCTGCTGCTTGTCGAGCGTTCCGCACCAGCACCACCGGCAGGCAACGAAGAGGAGTGGAGTTGGCAGCTGTCTGTCAGTCTGTCGTCAATGTTTGCAACTGGTGGAAGGCCGTCGAGTGTCGCAGGAATGCGGAACGTTTGTCGGCGATGGCCTCGTTGTCGTCGGGACAAGCTCAAAGGAACACCTAGGTGTCTGGGGTGCTGCGTCGTACTCGCACGGGAATCCAGACTTTGGAAAAGCATGTCGGTAGGGCTAGCGCTTTCGCGGAGATGGGATTTGTGACACCTGCTAGCATAAACTTTGCACCACGGCAATACAACGTCGGATCGAGGGCGTGGTCGAGATCGGGGGCGGTTGTGTTAGATGCGTGCAACAGGGAGCAATGGAACCTGCGGCACGTGCAGGGAAGGAGAAATGCCATCCCGTCCCGCGGGAATGCATTACCTAATCACTAGGTCGGTGGCGGATAATCCTAAAGCCCGCATCCCATTATCGATAAGACCCAGTATGATAAGATAACACAGAGCCGTGGCGTCTGTGGCGGAAGCAGAAGCGGGGTTGTGGCTGGCCTTATCTCCCGTGCTCAAGTGGGGGAACTACGCATGAAGCATGAAGCATGACGGAGCTCTAGACCAAGCAACCCTACAGGCAAACAACCCCGTCAAACTCAGATTGGACGATTTATGGCGTGTTAACCGCAGCCAAACAAACAACCACGCGTCTGGCGACATTGTCAACAACATCAGACAACACAGCACCCAAACAAAACCTTCGTCTTTGCCTCAACTTCGAGAACCAAGCAAACATCATCGACATCACCGCAGTCGCTTTCAACATCCACAATGCCCGATCTCAACACCGTCCCCGCTTCACCACATCCCGCCAATACCTCCCGGCGCTCTTCATCGAACCAGATATCTCAGCAGATGCCGCCTCCTCCTGTGCCCGCATCGTCAGAGTCGCCTTCCCTCAACATCCTTCCTTCGAACCAGAACACGGTCAACAACCCGAATACCTCGAACCCTTCTCTCCCATCGCCGACGATGGCCCCGGCAGCGACATCTCCGCCGGTCGCGCCTGAACCCAGCGTATCTGGGCCGGGCCCCATCCGTCATCCGCGTCCCATGACCGCCTCCGATCTTCATATGCAGCTCGAGAAGGAGCAAGAGGCAGTGGTACGTCGGGCTACATCCCCCATCACCGCTTCCACCTAACAGATCATGAGGTAAACCGCTTAACCCGCGAACTCCAACTCCTCCGCACCGCACAGAATGCCTCTGTCGTCTCCAACGCATCCTCAACATCTGCATCCAACACTACCGAAGCACCCGCCGACACCCACCTCCTCTCCGGTGCTGCCTTCTCCACCCCCGCGGTACCATCTAACAGCTCCCGCCGGCACCATCGCACCACCTCAAACGCTAGTACGCGCAGCCAGACCGCGATCGCCGGCTCGGCCTCCGTGTCCACGACCTCCATCCCGATCCCACGCCCCTCGAACCCCGTGCGCCAGGATAGCATTGCCTCGCGACACAGCTTGTCTTCCTCGCCAGCCCACTCGCAGCAGCATCTGGATCCCCACGCCAGCGGCATGACGTACTTCCAACAGCAGCGTTTGCCTCACCAGGCAACTGGGAGCACTTCCATAGCTGCCACCCCTGGGAGCGAGTCACAGCTGTCACCGGGTATGATGCCGGCTACTTCGAGATATGAGGAGACTGCACTCCACCGACAGGAGTTGGAGGTTGCCAAGAAGGAGAATGAGGGATTGAAGCAGCGTATTCGCGAGTTGGAGAAGTTGGTCAGGGAGAAGAGCGCCAGCGTCAGCCGAGAGAGGAGTGAGAGTGTCAGCAGTCTGACCACGGGAGGAGCTGGCGTGGGCTTGCCGGCCCCCAGCGGCGCGGCCGTGGTCGCTCGTCGCGAGCGTCCTGGTGGTGAGAGGGAGAGGTCTCTGACAACCATGAGTGTTGCAAGCAGCGTTGCTGTTGGCGTCCCTGAGGAAGAGGTGCAGGTTGGAGAGAGTGCAGCGAGCTCTGGGCTGAACCCCTGAGTGCGCTTTCGGCAGTAGATTCTCTGATACCCTGAATCATTGCTAGCGATGGATTATAAAGAACATGGATTACGGCCTGATGAACGAAAAGGGATGGCGTTTGGGGAACTGAGAAGTGGCAAGCTTTGCCCTTAGCAACTAGGTTTACGAATTTTCAAGTAATGAGAACACTCCATCATGATACATAATCACCCCAAATGACTTGATTCTACTGCTTGATTCTAATTTCGGGATGACACCATGTAGTGATGCCATTTCTACCATGGTGTGGTAGATTGAGGTTTCGTCGGCCATGTCAGTAAACCTCTAATGTCTAGGAGATTGCGCCGAATCAATCACACAAACAATCACCTCATTTACTTGAGAGCTTTGAGCTTTGCCTTTGATCGTTTATGTATTGTGTCTTGTCAAAAGAAATAGCTACATCCTGCGGTGATTCGTTCCTGTGGTGCAATTTTCCAAGTTTTCATCCCGCGTTCTTATTTCACCAAATTAGAAGGTCTTGCAAACTCAAAGACCCGAGTTACCGCTGTTGGCCCATCATCTGCCGGGGAATGTTCTGACCAGACATGCCTTGGGGATTGATAGAACCAGTCTGCATCCCAGAACCCATGCTTTGGTTTCCCACACCTTGGGTTCCCATAGCCTGGTTGCCCATGCCTTGATTGCCCATGCCTTGATTGCCCATGACTGAATTACCAACACCTTGGCCTCCAATGGTGTAGTTGTTCATACCAGAGTTGCCCACGCCTGTGTTGTTCAAACCTCCACTGGCCATTCCCGCACCTGCAGTGACTTGGTTGCCCGTAGCCCCGAAGCCTGACTGCAAGGGATTTCCGAAGCCGGTCTGGGCTTGGAAGTTATTGTTCCCGAGGCCCTGGACCCCCATCGTCATCCCTCCCTGGCCACCGCCGCCCATGACATTGGAGTTTTGCAGATTACCCCATCCGCCAAGTCCTTGTTGCTGCTGTTGAAACTGCGGGTACTGCTGCTGCGGTGCAAATCCTAGACCGCCCCAAGGAATCTGGGACGATCGATCGAACTGATCTGCTCGATGCTGGTTTCTGAGACTTAAATTCTCATCCGTGCGACCATGCTTGACCGTGTAGAGGTAGGCGTTGAACTCGTTTGAGACAAATGCTACCTTCTCAAAGTGCTCGCGCTTTACATCGATGGGACCAGCGATGTTCTTGTCTTGCTGGTGCCACTCAGCCAGTGCAACCGCCGTTTGGAACGCATTCCGGATCTGACGTCCATTCCACACGGGCTTCCAGTCCGCGCGTGACTGTTGCATCATCCAAAGCTCCTTAGCAAGCGCCAGGATGTCGAGGCGGTTGAATTTCACGTGTTGTGATTCGTCGTCGGGGGCAGCCTCTTTTGAAAGTTTCTCGGTCCGCCGCATCTGTACTTCCCAGATCTTCTCGGTCTGGTCCTGGGTCAGGGGAGGGTAGTACAGCGCGAGGGACATGCGGGACTTGAAAGCTTCGTCGAACGAGCCAACCTTGTTCGTGGTCAGAAACAGAATTCCTTCGTAGTACTCCATGACTCGAAGAAACACTGGCATCGTTAGTGATTTTGGACAACTGTTGCTTGTGCTCTTTGCAACTCACCAGACACAAGTGCGTTGCGCGCAATGTTGTCCTGGCTCCGCTCAGCCAAAAACACATCGGCTTCATCAAGGAGAAGAACACAGTCCCAAGCTTGAGCTAACTGAAAAGAAGACTGAAGATTAGACTCAACCTCTGCAGGCGTCATGCCAAGGTCACCTAATCTTCATTAGATCGTCTGTACCTTTTACGATGTTACTTTAGGTAATGATGCAGAGCTTACCACAAGTGATGGGCAACAACGGCTTGTTGTAATATTGGGCAACGGTTTCTATGATGATGTGTTACTCTTGAATCTCTCATGGAGGCAAATGTGCTGCATTCAAGGTAGGACCAAAGCTCACCTGCCGTTGACGTCTTACCCACCCCAGGAACGCCATGCAACAGAACGATAAGTCCTTTCCCCTTGTCTTGGATGAGATCGAACTGGCGCCTTTCTGACTTTTTCTTACGGAAGTGCGTAGCCATCATAGACTGGATGATCGACCGATGGTTGTAGTCAATCTGGAGATTGTCCCATGCGGATGGTTCAGACTCCATGGTAGTCAAAGAGCTCTCCTCAAGATCAGTGTCTCCCCGTCCAAGTGGTAAACAAGCTATGTTTTTCCGTTAGTCACCATCATCACTAACATGTGAAAAAGATGGTCTGAAAAAATTGATGTAGAAAGTCTTACCCCATTTCCGAGTTCGTAAAACGTATGCGAAAACTCGGCCAGGCAATAACAACATCTCGTCTCCGGCTGGTGGAATGCGACTGTCCCACTCAAGAGTTTGTGATTGATCTGTGTAGTTGAGAACCTTCTCCGCCATTCGCAAATCCCATACGCGATCATCATCTATGGCTGGACCAGGACTCCCTGCGTCCCTGTACGGCACAGAAAGCTCTCGATGCGTTCTGCATGGTTTCCAGTTAGGCATCGCTTGAAAACAACGCCCGAAGTCAACTACAACCGGACTTTCAATGCTCTCAGAAACGACGGCGACGGAACCTCCTGTCCCTTCCCCCGGTCTCTGAAGTAAGCCCCCTTCAGGTTCGTGAGTGATGCTGCGCCCTCTGTAGTAGCAGTATCGGAATTGAGTGAAGAAAATGAATGCAGATGCTCTTTGGTAAATGTGCTCAGTTCTCACCAAGCCTTCCTTCTCGGCCACGCGGAGAGGTAGTATGGGAAGACTCTTGATGCTCGTTGGATCCTTGAATGCTTCAATGTCAAATTTTTTGACCACCCGAACGAAGTGAGTTCCGTTGAAGTCCACGTAGTAGCAGTCGAGTGTAAAAGGAATGACTCTAGTGCCGCCGAATACACCGCCCAGTCTTAAGTAATCGAGGTGGGCGTCAGGGGTGTTTCGTTGCAGCGGTGACCAAGCCCCTCCAGTTCCCTGAATGACACGCCACAGCTTCTGGGGTACACTGGGGTCTTTGACATAAACCATGTTTCCAGGAGTGTAGAGATGCCATAGCTCATTGAAGTGTACAGGCATGTCGTCGACTTCTCGTAGAGCCTTGCGAAGAGGAGAGATGAACTTGTCTATGAAATTGACAAGAGCACTGAAGTCTCTGTATGCCTCTTCCAATTCTTCTTTGCTGTGTCGTTCCCAGTTGTCGCCGTTGAACAGCTGGTGATCTTCCAAATCTGACCGCCCTGCAAAGGTTGGCGGAGGAAACTCTGCATCCACGTCGAGTTCGTCTATGTCGGTGTACATCTTTGTCTCAGTGCTATCTTGTACGGTACGACCAAGATCTTCTTCATTGCTTGAGCCTTGATTTAAGCTTGGATCCTCGATTCTGGAGTCTTTCTCGCCTTCCTTGCTGCTCAAATCTGGACCTTCCTTTGCCTTCTTGGCTTCCGAGCAGAGATTTCCCAGCGTTGAAAGATGTTCTCGGATTGCTTCTTCGACATGTACAAGCAGTTTGTAGGGTCGATAAAGCGACATGTAGACATTTCTACCGTCGGCTATAAGCTTCCCATCCGTTACATGCCCAAGAAAACGTCTGATTGCCAACGAATGGATGCGAACACGCGACGGAAGGTGCTCAACACCCAATGGGCGCGTGGACTGTGATGCCTTGACAGAGGAGGGTGTGTAGTTGCGCTGGAAAATTGTTGGAATTTCTTCATTCAAGTATGCAATAGCAAATGCTGCAAGTTGACCTGAGATCGGGGCCGCAGCCGGTGGCATTCCCACTGGTTGCGGTGGTGGCGGGAGCCAGTTACCCCAGCTGAGGGCCTTCAACCCCACGGAGCATTTCGTTCTTCCTGCATCCTCACTGAAATCCGATGGCGCATTGTAGGGGGCATCTTCGAAGATATCTGATATCCATCTCATCATGTTCAAATGGTCGTTCAATGTCTTGACGTTGGTCTGATCCCGTGTCATAATTGGTCGGCCAGGATTCATACGAGGTAGAAACCAGTCCCGCGATCGCCAGTTCCGACCGATCTGGCGCAGCCTCCGTCTCATATGACGATTCGCAGCCATAGAGCCGCTTCGAGTGCTGTTACTGTTTTCAACATCACTATTTTCACCATCACCGATCTCAGCATCACTGGCGTCGCTGCCACTGGGGATGTTGCTGTCATTCTGAGAAGCATCTTCTTCGACTTTCTGCATGTGTGTTGTGTCATTTTCCGCTACGAAGTCCGTCATCTTGCCGGATTTCTCCTGCATGAACTGTTAGCTTACATGCAATATCCGTTTAAGCCTTTCCACAGAATTTACTGGTGAAGCTGAAGGGGTCGTATTTCCGCTTGCCGAATCCGCGAGAACTTGACTTTCGAATATGGAGCTTGACTCCGCTGTAGAATGGAGCGTCGAATCTGATGGCAATGAGACAACCCGGAACCCTGGATCAGGGGTGTCGTCACAACTAGAGGCCATTTTCCTTACGAACGGGTGACGTGATGGTATTCTGCAGCAACCATGAGCTCTATCAATTTTGCTGCAACAAGGAAATTTGGGACTTCTGGCCGATATATAGATGAGGCCTACAGGGGTTTTCAATACTTTGCGTCCATGACTCCATGCTTGATTTATCATGTCGGCGTGGCAGTCTTACATGCAGAGCCCAGCCTGATCGACCACACCACCATGAGTGACTACTCTCCAGCGCAGGCCGCATTGTTACGGCCTAAAACTTTGCGGTCTGATCCACGGTTTCCAAAATTAGGTCGTGATGACTGCAGACTGACCAGTCAGATTAGCGGGACGCCGCATCCGACGTCTGGCTAATCTCCTTGTGCGCCAACAAGCGCCCGACTAATGCCTCTCAACTGCAAGTTCCCCTCACCAGTGTAATCTGAAATGATGATGTAACCCACCATGTTCACAGCCTTGCCTGTTAAGAAGCTGACAACGTTCAAGTTCAAGTTCCTCGAGCTCCGAGAAGTCATGCGGCCGTCCGGCTCAAACTCATCCTTCCCAAAAACGCGGTCGACTATCAAACATGGGGGACTGTGTGAATACATTCATGGAGACCAGGGCTCCCCAAATTGACCCAAGTTGGCGGGCTTCAGTAGGTAACAAGTTTATCGAAAAACAGAGGCAACGGCAGGCTTCCAAGAAGTAAGCAACTGACTTTGGACTTGAAAAGATTTGGAACTAATAATTGGCACTCGCATTAGAGCCCGCGAACGGACGACTTCTTTCAAGAGTCTGATGAGCGATTTTGTTGATAGAACTCAGCGCGTCGACCTCAAATGGTTTGATGTCGATCGCGAATTCCGATGGGAGGATGTGAAGGAGATGGCCGCCGCTGCTATCGATAGAGACGTTGAAAAGACGAAATGGAGCAAGAACCCACTTCGAGCGGCAGCAAGGTCATTCCAGAAAAACGCATCAAACTTGGAAATGCTGCTGGCCTTCCTCCCAAACGGGGATTTCACGGGCGTTCTATGTGGGGCATTGACATTCGTATTTTGCGTAAGTGCTGTCGGACTCGAACGAATTGAGAACTTCGTTTTTGACACATGTGGCAGGCCGCAAAACGATTATTCGAAGTTCGGCAGAGAATCTTCGCCTGCCTCGAAAGTCTTCCTCAGATTGTCGGACAACTAGACGCTTATCTTGAAATCTACGCCGAAGACGATTCGATCTGGGATGCCGCAGAAGATCTTTATCTAGGCATTCTCGAAGGGGTTGCGGGGATGCTCCAGTGGATTGACAAGTCTGCTTTTGGTACGTTTTGGCGCGTTTCGCGAAGTTCACAAAGTCCGTCTGACACAAACGCTGCTACTAGAACGTGCCTACAAAGTTTTACTGTTCCCAATGACACTCGGCAGTGATGTAGAGGAGAAGGCAATCAAGCAGAACATTGAGGACAGGGTAGCTCGGTTCCGTGAAGTCGCCGAAGTCGGCTTGCACAGAAATGTTGCTAGTTTACGCGCGGATCTTGTCCATTCGAACAAGTCTGTCGAGACACTGAGAAAGATGTTGGCTGATCTCATGTCCTATTCCCAGTGGGCTCATGGTATGGAAAAACCTTTACTGAAACATTTCCCTAGTAGACTGTTAACGTATAAATCTAGAGAATCCTCGAGTCGCTGCAGCCAGTAGAACGTCGTTCGTCACACTGGAACAGCTCCGCAGCATTATCAATGTCGACGCACAACTATCAAAGCGAGACGAAGGAATCGCGATAATGGACGCCCAAAATGTTTGCCAGCCGAAGCTCATTAATCACGCGCTGAGTGTCCTCTACAACGAAAAGTTTCTCATGTGGCTGCAGTCTAACATGTCCCATATTCTCTTCATCAATGGCAGGATGAAGCTTAACGCTGCACAAGAAGCATCCTCTCCTCTCACGATTCTTTCTTGCGTCATTTCTCAAACTGTTGCTACACATACCCAACGCAGTATTCCGATGCTGTATCTCTGTGGGCAGCATAATTCGCCGGATGATGCTGAAGGTGGTCCTAATGGGATATTGCGCTGCCTGAATTCTCAACTTGCACACGCCATTGTGCAGGAAGATGTTGATCTGTCAAGCGTCGACATGGAGTTCGTAGAGGGTATTAAGGCACAGAGGCCTCCAGTGCTTTGTTCTCTATTTCGCCTACTACTACCATCTGCCATGAGGAAGGTGGTATTCGTTATCATAGATGGGGTCTCCTGGATGGAAGAAGGACCACACGCGCAGGATTTTGGCGGGCTGGTCATCTTTCTCCGAAACCTAGTGAACGAGCTAAATCAACGCCAGCCTGGGTACGCCGTCAAGGTTTTGCTGACGAACCCGTCGACGAGTGTCCACGCACACCACTTGCTTCCGGAGAGCTGCATACTGGAAATGGAAGATGTGGAGGACTACATGGACATTCCAATGGAAGCAGAGAGATTTCTATGGTAAAGCCGGCTGTGTGCAAGAGTATTCAAGATAAATACAGGAGACTGACAGGTTTTGATCTGGTGAAATATTTACAAACGTGCGCAGCGGCGTGCTCTACATGGTTCATAATGTACCACACTCCTATTGACCTCCGCAATTGATTTATTCAACCGAAACCAATAAACATTATCTGATTAGATTGTTTGAGAGATTTTGAGGCGCATTTAAATCATTAGTTGCGGAATTATTATTTCCGTATGTTCCAGAACTCTTTGATGTCACCTTCAACACAAGGGTTACCGCTGCAGGGAGCACGTGCTAGTAGGGTAGTATTACCTTGAATCCTCGAGCTCGTGTTCAACAGACATATCTAGGCAATGTGCCTCACGGCATGTTCCCGCACCGTATGAAGCCCCTGCGTTGTCAAAGAATGTCCAATAACTAATAGTCAGGTGGTTGTGGCGAGTCCGAATGGCGGGCAGGATAGTACGGAAATCAAATCCCGCGAGGACTGGTGGCACAAAAGACGCCACAAATAATAAAAGAATTGACATTTGCGTCCACTTTCTGCCCCTTTATTCGTAAAAATACGAGACCTGTGTCAGACTCCAGAACGCCAGATTGAAATGTATATGCTCGAAGGAAAATTGGAAGTTATCAATGGCACAGAATCAAAGCCAGAACAAGAACGCTGAACTGAGTTTAGTCACAACTTTCTCCTTCCACACCCGACGTTATATGTCTTACTGGACCATCACCAGAGGAATCTTCCAACAACATAAAGCAATCAATGTCACCGTATTCTGGTAAGGGTGTACACCTCGCAGGGGGGTCTACAGACTTCCTAGGGGGCTGTGGCCGTGTAAGCACCACATACTTATACAAAAAAATGCAAGTTATACAGTGAAATTCAAAAAAGCTCTCTAAGTGCCCTAAAGTTTATACGAGGGGAAAATGGATTGATGATTGCGCATATGCTCAGCATATGCGCGCCCTTAGGGCCCCTAAGGTAGGGCCCCTAAGGCAGGGCCCCTAAGGCAGGGCCCCTAAGGCAGGGCCCTTAAGGTAGGGCCCCTAAGGCAGGGCCCCTAAGGCAGGGCCCCTAAGGCAGGGCCCCTAAGGCAGGGCCCCTAAGGTAGGGCCCTTAAGGCAGGGCCCCTAAGGCAGGGCCCCTAAGGTAGGGCTCCTAAGGCAGGGCCCTTAAGGTAGGGCCCCTAAGGTAGGGCCTTTAAGGTAGGGCTCTTAAGGTAGGGCCCTTAAGGTAGGGCCTCTAAGGTAGGGCCCCTAAGGTAGGGCCCCTAAGGCAGGGCCCCTAAGGCAGGGCCCCTAAGGTAGGGCCTTTAAGGTAAGGCTTATGCTGAGTATATACTAGGTATAACCTCTAAAGCTTAGAGGGTAAGGCCCCTAAAGCCCCTAAAGCTTAGGGGGTATATACTAAGTATATACCTTAGAAAGCTTATATATAGAGGGCTACGTTAAGGCTAGAGTATATACTTAGTATATACTAAACCTTATACTATATAAGCCTTTTATATATGCATAATAGAGGGCTGAAGTTCCCCTACACCCCCCTTAGAAGTCTGTAGACCCCTAGGCGAGTAGCACTCTGTTCTGCTGTTCTAGTAAGTCTTAATTGCTATAGGGAATATCAGCGTCCAGACTAAGTCTAAGAAACCATGCTGACGATGCACTTTTGTTTTGTGGGTGTATACCTCGCAGGGGGGTCTACAGACTTCTTAGGGGGCTGTAGCCGTGCAAGCGCCACATACTTATACAAAAAAATGCAAGTTACATAGTGAAATTCAAAAAAGCTCTCTAAATACCCTAAAGTTTATATAAGGGGAAAATAGATTGATGATTGCGTATATGCTCAGTATATGCGCGCCCTTAGGGCTCCTAAAGCAGGGCCCCTAAGGCAGGGCCCCTAAGGTAAGGCCCCTAAGGCAGGGCCCCTAAGGTAGGGCCTCTAAGGCAGGGCCCCTAAGGCAGGGCCCCTAAGGTAAGGCCTTTAAGGTAGGGCTTATGCTAAGCATATGCGCGCCCTTAGGGCCCCTAAGGTAGGGCCCTTAAGGTAGGGCCCCTAAGGCAAGGCCCTTAAGGCAGAGCCCCTAAGGCAGGGCCCCTAAAGCAAGGCCCTTAAGGTAGGGCCTCTAAGGTAGAGCCCTTAAGGTAGGGCTTATGCTAAGCATATATATGCTCTTAAGGCCCCTAAGGTAGGGCCCCTAAGGCAGAGCCCTTAAGGTAAAGCCCCTAAGGCAGGGCCCTTAAGGTAGAGCCCTTAAGGCAGGGCCTCTAAGGTAGGGCCCCTAAGGTAGGGCCCCTAAGGTAGGGCTTATGCTGAGCATATACTAGGTATAACCTCTAAAGCTTAGAGGGTAGGGCTCCTAAAGCCCCTAAGGCCTAGGGGGTATATACTAAGCATATACCTTAGAAAGTTTATATACCTTAAAGTATAGAGGGCTACGTTAAGGCTAGAGTATATGCTAAGCATATGCTAGACTTCGTACTATGTAGGCTTTTTATGTATGCATAATAGAGAGCTGAAGTTCTCCTGCGCCCCCCTCGGAAGTCTGTAGACCCCTGGGCGAGCAGCACTCTGTTGTTTTGTCACCCCACCTTCCGTCCCACCTACATAGTTACCCCTGAGATGCACAAGGGTTTAAATTAAAACAAATTGAGAACGACAATCAAGCTCACGAAAAGCGGAAGCCCACTCTATTAGAACAGGGCCAGGCGCGAACCCAGAGTGGGACATTGAAGGGAAATAACTGGGGTTCGTTGCCGGTATGCCGATCATTGGGTTAGTTGCGGTTCTGAGTTGCGCGCAAGTTGCGAGTTGGGCGGGTTGAAGTTGCAGATAGAGAGATGTTGAAATTGACTCAAATAGACAGAAAAGATCGTCGTCGGAGCGTTTCTTGGGCTTGAACATATACTAAGCATCAGTTCCATTCAGCCTTCTCAATTCAACCACACCTTTGGCCACCAAGAGCCGCCACACTCCTCTATTCCAACTACCTACGTTCACTTCCTCCCTTGACGAGATCCACCATCACGATGATTGCCCCCAAGTCTTTCTTTCTCAGCCTGGCGCTGATCGGCTCGAGTGCCACTGCCAACCCCCTACTGAACAAGCGCGATGTTACTTGGGGTCCCATCGCTGGCTTCCAGGCCACGACCTCCGAGATCATCAGCACCGTTAGCACCATCTACCCCGGCAAGATGCCGTCCGGCCAGAAGGGCTACATGTTCGCCTGGATCGGTATCGGTGCTGAGACCGGTGATCTGATCCAGAGCATCGTCGGCTCATACCCCGCTGGCATGAGCGAGTGCACCGGCTCCGCGGCCGACTCCACCTGGTGCATTTCCTCCGAGGTCTACGGCCTGGACAGCACCGGCGCGACTGTCCAGTTCGTCGGAGACAAGAGAACCGCCGACACCAACTACGAGAACGGCATCATCTTCAACTACACCCTCATCGACAAGTCGACCTACCTCTGGGAGCAAACCATGACTGACGCCGTCACCGGCGAGCTTCTGTCTACCTACCAGAAGAAGTCCGGAAAGATGACTCTGTGGAACACGGCCATTGAGCTGCAGGACAACAACGGAGCTGCCCCCACGGGAACCGTTGAGCCCCAGTACTACACCAACACCACCATTGTCTTCGCCGAGAAGGATGCTGCCTACAAGGACGGCGCTTACACCGAGTCCGGAGCCACATACTCTGGCATTGCTACCGCTGATGGCGGCAAGACGGTATGTTACAAATGGAAATATTGTTTCGAACCAAGTACTGATAAGTATTTAGTGGACCATCGAGAAGATCACCGTCCCAGCTATGACTAGCTCCTAAGCGGCCTGAAAGCTGTAGGGCCGAATGCAGTAACGCTCTTTGAGCGAGGCAGCCCTGCAATGCATTGCGGAAGCAGGGCTTCAGGTGAGGGAAACCTTTATTTTCAATCTTGTACAAAGAATTACAACTTCAATATATACATACCAGGCAGCCTGGTGTGCTGCCGACTCGAACCTACCTTTTAGCTGGAAAATATCAGAAGAGGCCTCATCGAGCACCTCGCCTGGTGTGATATATGAAGACTTCCATCTGCTGTGAACAAGTTGCCATTCGACTAAGATAAAGTAAGAGTACAAACAAGTTTCTATTGCGCTTTTCCGCAAATTCGACCTCCTCAACTCAAATATTGGTGTAAATTCACGACAGGTCTGGACGGAACTTGTGGAGGTCCCGGGATGAAGCCGGACGTGGGGTAAGATGCCCGCATAGTGCCAGGGGTAATTGCACACTGTGTCTTGGTTTGAGTTTGAGTTGCGAAAGTTGCCCACAGCCTCTTCTGAAGTTGCTGTCCTCATAGCAAGTCAACCGCACTGAGTTAGAGACGATGCTATCGTACTTCAAGAGGCGTCTTCCAACGAGACTTTATTGTTGCGACGAAGAAGACCACTACCTGGAATAGGATCAACAATCATCCGCCGACACTATCTTGCGCTATTTTCCTTGCATCATTTGAGCCGATCTTCGGAATGAGTTCTCCAGTCATTCCTTTTGCATCATGAGTGCATCTTCAGCAGCCACAGATCTCACAGTAGCGGGGACCAGACGCTATCGGTCCAAGGCACAGCGACCATGTGACCTATGTCGCGCACGCAAGGCGCTGTGCAACATCCCGGACCCGTTGCAGCCCTGCCAGCTGTGCAAGAGAATAGGCCGGGAATGCACCTTTGTTGGTAACCCCGGTAGAAGGCCGAAGGGTCGTCAAGCTGTCTCTCCTGCGTCAGCTACCGGACCACAGAGCCAATCACCTACCGAGAATGTGATGACTTTATCCCCAGGTCTCATGTTGCAAGCACAGCAAGACATGATAGACTTGACAAGTACCTCTTGCAACCAAACAATCTCCCCGCCAAATATGCTGATAATTCTGCAGATAATACCGCTGAGGATCCACATGCCGGCTCGGAGTTTATCTGGCCCAGCAATAGCCCCTTGAACTGGGATCTGGGAAACGACCAACTCGCTCAGAATCTTGAGTTTCGAGACTCACCGACTGCCTTTCTGGAACCCCAAGGACGTAATGTAATATCCGGCGATCAAGGGGTCTTGCAACCTGCAATACATGCGGCTGTGAAATCACCAGACATGGAGTATACCCAGGAAAGAAGTTCATTAGACGAACGTCCGAACCACTCCACAACATTTATCGGAAATTCGAACGAATCTGATCCATTCTTGGTGAATCATTTCCCTCACAATGACCAAGATGAGATCGACTTCTTCAGGGTCACGTACCGACAGGTCACTGATGACAAGAGTCAACCACTTCATTTCTTGCAAAGCCAGACCGGAACAGCCGCTGAATCGCAAAAAGTCCTCGGCGAGTGTCTTCCTAAAATAGATGAGCGGGAGAGATTGGAAAATATCGTCGACAAGGCTACTGGAGTGTCACTCGTCAGGCTGTAAGTGCCCCCTGTGGCTCTCATAATAACATGGGTAGACTAACCCTCTGTAGATATTTCAGATTCGTCTTCCAAGCATTGCCCATTCTCTCCCGGTCGCTTGTCCTCCCGGATGTAGAACGCTTTGTCGCAGAGGCGTCGACTGGCCTGTTGGCAGGTATCTACATGCTCGCGTTGCCATTCACGCCATGGGATGAGGCACTATGTATGAACAATGCATATACGAAGCCAAGTGTCGATGGTCTCTGGCAAATCTCATATATCTGTCTTCAGAGAGAGTTGCACTTCCCGCGACTCTCGACCGTTCAGATCTTCCTCTTGCTACTAAACCAGGTATCTTTTGATTCCGTCTCAGTCGAGAATCCTTCTGCCTGGTCCATGGCTGCTTCATTGCTCGGGATGGCGCAGTCGTTGGGTCTCAATGCAGATCCAAGGGGCTGGAACCTGCCACCTTGGGAGATTAGGCTGCGGAGAAGACTGTGGTGGTCTGTCTATGTTGAGCATACTTGGAGGTCTGTCACTCATGGTCGGTCGTCTATGATACGACATGATGACTGGGACGTATCCCCTCTCACCGTGGATGATTTTGCCGTTGACCCTACAACACCGACAATGCCTGGTGGATCTCAGCCACCAGACTACATCATACAACTCTGCTCGTTGACAAGGATCGCCGATGAAATCTGCCGGCTATTCTTGTGAGTTACTTCGTCCCAGACCCATGATTCGTCTAACGCTCTCAGCACCCTTCGCGCGATATCACAACGCCCAGCACTAGAGACATTGATAGCTCAAGCACGTGGCCCTCGGCAACAACTTCTCGACTGGTTGGATCACTTACCCCAATCTCTCCAATTACATCCCGAAACCGAGCCTTCTGCAGAGCACTCCATCGAAAGCCATGCTCCGTTGTACGTTACGTATTACACCGTTCATATTCTCATCTTCCGCGCCCTGTTGCGCCCCATCATAAGCACCGACATCAACCCGAGTATGCTACCAGCATCTTCAACCTCTATCCTCCAAGCTTCGCGAAGCTTGATGCAGACCATAACGAAATTCATCTGTGGACTCGATGTAAGACATCAGTCCGCTTTCTGGCCGGCTTACACCAGACACTGTCTGTCATACCCAGGACTGTTTTGCTACATGCTGTCGCTGCAACAAAGCGAGCCCCACATGTTATCGTTTGATCGGGCTTTACTTGACACTTGGAGAAAAGCGTTGCGGACAAGAGTACAATCGTGGTCATTTTTGCGATTTGCTATTGTAAAGGTGGACGCTATCTACTGGAAAGGCCTCCGAGAGCCTGCGTCTTGACATGGAACGACGCACAAGCATTCAAGGACATATACATATCCTGTACAAAGCTCCGCTAAATTAATCTATTTATGGCTTGAGGTGTTCATCAAGGCAGTTCAGCTGCTTTCAGAACACGTATTGGAAGTGTAACGCTTGATCGCCTTTCTTACCATTGCTTTCCTTGCCCTCGGCCAGTAGACGCTCCTTACGGCGCATACGCCATTTGAGAAGAGCGTAGATCAAACCTATACAAATCAATGCAATAACCTCTCCTCCAAGAGACACCGCATTGCCCATGATGTACCTCGGGGCATCGTATGAGGGGTAAATCTGGGATGCGGCCATGCCAGAAGCGTTTGCCAGAGAGATGAGCATTGCAATCGAAACGGAGCGCTTGTAGTCGGGTTGAATATTGTTCGAAACCCAGCTAGAAGGGGTCAGCATGAACATCATACTCTTCAATAAGGCGACTTACGTGACGAGGACAGTATTGAAGGAATAAACCCCAGCGCCCACAAGGAACATGGCAAAGAATCCAGCGGCTTTGTTGCCGGTGCCAACTGCAATGGCATACCCGCAAATGACCAGTGCGGGAGAGTGTATGAGACAGACAGCGCGGCGGTTGATTCTGTCAGACACAAATGTTGTGATCGCGGTTGAGATGGATGCAAGGATATAAACTGGGATGCTCAAGTAGTTCGCCTGAAGAGAAGTATACCTAGAGATAGTCAGCGAATGTTCAACTTTGGGATATCCTGAAACGTACCCGAGACCCTTCAGCAAAGTAGGGAGAAACGTGCCGAAACCAAAGAGGGCGATTGAGGAGCAAAACAGTGCCACGGAAGCGAGATAGACGAAGGGGTCCGTAATGGCCATGACAACCTGTGGCCAGGAAAACGAGGTCTTCTCTTTAGACATTTGGTCTCGTTCCTTGATGCGCATCATCACAGCTTTCTCCTCGCTCTTAAAAAACCAAGCTGTCTCTGGCGACGTTGGCAAACTGACCCAGCAAATGACGCCTATGACCAGCGAAATTGTACCCTCGACAATGAACAACCACCTCCAGGCAGACAGCCCGTGGCGTGCACCCATGCTTTGGACACCGTATGCGAATAACCCGCCCAGTGCACCGGATAACGCAATGGTGATGTAGAGTACGGCAACACGCTTACCCTGCGATGCAGGCGGATAGATTTCTGAAATGACGTAGATCAAGGCGGGGAAGAGACCGGCCTCGAAGAAGCCAAGAAGAACTCGCAAGGCGATGGCTTCGCCGTAGCTGTTGATGAAACCCGTACCGATGGTGATGGCGCTCCAGCTGACAATCGCGATGGCAAGAACGCGGCCTGGACCCAGCCTCTTGACGGCCATGACCCAAGGGGTCTCGAAGACCACATAGGAGATGTAGAAGTACATTGAGATGTCGTTGAAGTCGGTGCCTTTCATCCCCGTGTCTTCTTCCAGACCAAACACGCGAGCATTTCCTAAGATCTGTCAGTCAGTGCGTCAATGAAGAGACATGGGTGGAATTGCAAACCGATGTTTGTTCGGTCAAGGTAAGCGAAAAGGACGAGCAGCGCCATCTGCGGCATCACGAACTTGTCGAACTTGGACAATACTGCTCGTTCCTGGGGATCGACTGCGATCTCCGCAGCATTGAGGCTGCTGCTATCATTTTGCTGCCGGACCTCGACATCCTTGTTCGACAAGTCTTTGCCTGGGATGGTCATCGTGGCGGGTATGGTACGAGGCTATGAGGTTTGCAGCGATGCTCAAGTTGACAAGACCATGCATGTGACTTTAAACCAATTGCAACATCCTTACGAGATATGGGCTGCTGTATATACTCAATTGATAAATGCAGTTCCTTTGATTTCCCGACGTGGCGGACAATGGACCAACAGGGTCGAATGATTGTAGAGATACCACCTCGGGTCTGATAACCGGCAAAGCTGCCATTGGCTACCTTACTGCGTTTACCTGGGGATAAGCTATCCGATAACTAGAGTTAGCCCCGCATTGTCGGCGGTCAGCCGGGGTAAATACCGACGGCCGATGACGGCCGACGGCGGACAACCGCCGTCGGTGGATAATCACTTCCCAATTGGGTTGTCCTATCGCCCGGTGCGGGGCATCCTCAGACGCCGTTGGCTGTTTGCCGATCTGAGCATGCTTGAGTTGGTATATCACTTCATGCCATGAATCTCCATGAAGGATTTTGACAATACACTTTTAGCTGAATTCATTGGACTCTACTCGACTTATTCTTACATAACCAACTAGCAAAAAGCTTTACGGAAGAAAGCAAAACATGGGTTCTCTGGGCACCAGGAGTCAACTGAAAATCAGCCAAGAGAGCTTGGCCGGGCTGCTCCATGAGAGTTGCCAATTTGGCGCCGCACATCGATATGGAAAGTGAGTCTGCCACAAAATCATTCAGATTTGCGCGTCCATAATCTCACAATGACAGAGCTTCTATCGACACCGGTATGGCGCGACTTAGTCTCGATGACACAGACAAGCAAGTGAGAGATTGGTTCATGCAGCACGCCAAGTCGCTCGGCTGTGAGACCTTCTATGATGAGATGGGTAACTTGTTCGCAATTCGTGCTGGAAAGAACAATGATGCACCCCCAATCATGATGGGATCCCATCTTGACACGCAGCCTACTGGAGGTCGCTACGATGGCATCTTGGGTGTCATCTCCGGTCTCGAGGTGCTGCGAGTTTTGAGTGAGAATGATTATGAGACCGAAGGGCCAGTTGGTGTCGTCAATTGGACAAAGTACGTCTTCTTCTCGGTTGCACAAAGTCCGTTCCCAACTAAATACTGACTAAATCTAGCGAAGAGGGCGCGCGGTTCCCGAAAATGGCCGTATCTTCAGGCGTCTGGGCTGAAGCCATCCCGCTTAAAACAGCCTGGGACCTGAGAGAAGTGTCGGCACGCGACGGTCAACCCAAGTCCATGAAGGAGGAGCTAGACAGAATTGGCTACACCGGTGAACGCGCGGCTTCGTACCGCACAAATCCTTTTGCTGCCCACTTCGAGCTACACATCGAACAGGGCCCTATTCTGGAAGATGAAAAGCAGAAGATTGGTGTCGTTCAAGGTGAGAACCCCAGCCTAGTGATGGCTATGAGACCTGACTGAGTATTCACACTCAAAACAGGCGTGCAAGCTTTCAAATGGTTCAGCATCACTGTCAGAGGTCGCGATAGTCACGCCGGAACAACACCACTGTATGCGCGCAAGGACCCGGTACTCTGTGCAAGCAAGCTTATCGTTGCGGCCAACGCCATCGCTCATGAGTTCAATGGTCTCGCTACAACGGGCATCTTCACCACAGATCCAGGAACAGTCAACACAATGGCGCACACGGTCAAGTTCACCCTTGACGTGCGGCATGTAGAGGACGCAGTGTTGGGCGAGATGGTCCGCCGCTGCGAGGAAGAGTTTGAGCGTGTCGGAAAAGATGACAGCGGGAAAGGATGCGTTGTGGACTGGGAACTCCTGGTCGACAGTCCGGCTGTTCAGTTCCATCCGGATTGCATCGCTGCTGTTGAGGCGAGTGCTGCTGATGTGTGCTCCACGCTTCCCGAGGCCGGTGAGCGTAAGCTGTTCAGACCAATGATCAGTGGTGCCGGACACGACAGCTGCTATACGAACCTGCGGGTGCCGACAAGCATGATCTTCACACAGACGAGGGATGGTATCAGCCACAACCCTACGGAATATTGCTCACCGGAGGACTGGTATTATTATTCCCGTCAACCTGATTGGTAAACGACACTGACCTTTGCATAGCGCGATTGGTGCCAAAGTGTTACTTGGAGCGGTACTGCGTTATGATAAGCTGCGTGCCGGAAAATAAGTGCCACCGTCGGCCCCGAGTGTTCAATGTAAGATCAATCGACGATCCAGGGTGCTTGGTGAGCGGAGTGGCTGAGTCGTGAGCGGAAGACAATTGCCGAAACAGGTGCATTGCCCTAGATGATATTACAAAGCTCAATAGTGCCCAAAATTACGTTTTTCTTTTTGCACTAGATATCACAGAACACCATCAATATGCAAGTAGAGAAGTGGAAACAACGCGCCGAATCAAGGAAAAAGTGATATTTGGCGGCTGAGAGAAGGAGCTGGCGGTCGGAGAGAAAGTCCGTAGGTGTTCAAATCCCACTCAAGTTGACGTTCCCAGTCCCAAGCTTTTAACTTGTCCGCTTCCTCAGTCTTGTGAGAAGTGCATATGCTCTTGCGTTTCAGTGACTATTTATCTAATTCAACAGATGAGGCAGTAGTCTAATATCTATGTTCAATGTCCCATTGATGCAATACTTCGCAAAGTTATCAATCTCTTTTTAGACTCCAACTAATGCAAAACAAACGTGCCTAGCAGAAAAGC